TTTATACCTTATTCAAAAATTGTATGCTTCTCGTTTTGCAAATATCAAGGTGCTCTGCTAACTTCGAACAAAGTCAGTAGAGCACCTCACTTTTTTGAAGTTAGTTTTTTCAAAAACAACGACACTATACTTTTAGGCTATTTTTAGGCTCTTAAAATATTATAAAACTTTTCGAAGAAAATTGTTATTTTGCTAGCTTCGAACGAATCCAGCAGAGCTTCTCGGTTTTTTAAAATCACACCGCATTTTTAGGATATTTTTAGGCTCTTGAAATATTATAAAACTTTACTAAAAAATTGCTATTTATAAATAATACATGGTGCTTGGTTGGAAGAAAGTTAGCAGAGCACCTCGGCATTTTATAGCTTTTTTTCTAAAAACAGCCACACCGAATTTTTAGGCTATTTTTAGGCTTTTAAAATATTACAAAACTTTTCGGAAATAATTAGTATTTTTTAAAAATACAGGGTACTTTGCTAGCTTCGAACGAATACAGCACAGCACCTCGATTTTTTTAAAGCTTTTTTACTAAAAACAACCTAACCAAATTTTTAGACTATTTTTAGGCTCTTGAAATATTGTAAAACCTTCCTAACACATTGTTATTTTTAAATAATACAGGGTACTTTGTTGGAACAAAGTCAGCAGAGCACATCGGTTCATTAATTTTTTTTTCCGAAAACAACTACTTTTGCCACATTTTAAAGCTATTTTAGGCTTTTGAAATAATCTAAAACAAAAATTATTATTTTTAAAAATTTGCTAGTTTCGAACGGATACAGCAGAGCACCTCGGTTTTTTAAAACTTTTTTTCTATAAATAACCACACCACATTTTTAGGCTATTTTTAGGCTCTTGAAATATTATAAACTTTACTAAAAAATGCTATTTTTAAATAATGCAGGCTTTTTTGGAATAAAGTTAGTAAAGCACTTCGGTTTAACTATTTTTTCGTGAGCATAAAAATAGCCTAAAAAGGTGGTATAATTGTTTTTAGAAAAAATAAAAAACTTTAAAATGCTGATGTTCTTTACTGAGCGAAAAATTTTATATTTCAGAAGTCTAAAAATAGACTAAAAATTAATATAGTGTGGTTTGTTTTTTAGAAGAACAAAAAAAACTTAAAAATCGAGGTGCTCTGTAGGCTTTGTTCTAAAGTTAGCAAAGCATTTTTTACAAATAGTAAATTTTTTTGGAATGTTTTTAATATTTTAAAAGCTTAAAAATAGCCTTAAATGAGGCATGGTTCTTTTTAGAAAAATCCTTTAAAAAACACAGTTGCTCTACTGGCTTCGTTCGAACAAAGCACCCTGTAATAATAAAAAGTAACTATTTTTTTAGAAAAGTTTTATAATATTTCAAGAGCCCAAACATAGCCTACAAATATGGTGTAGTTGTTTTTCAAAGACGCTTTAAAAAACCGAGGTGTTCTGCTGGACTCGTTTCAATTTTTTGTAAAGTTTTGTAACATTTCAAAAGCCTAAAAATAACATAAAAATGTGTTGTGGTTGTTTTTGGAAAAATCATTAAAAACCGAGGTGCTCTGCCGTATTCGTTCGAAGTTAGCAAAGCCCTGTATTTTTTAAAAATGCTTATTTTTTCAAACAATTTTATAATATTTCAATAGCCTCAAAATAGTCTAAAAATATGGTGACGTTGTTTTTGGAAAAGAAAACTCAAAATAACTGAGGTGGTCTGCTGACTTCGTTCGAAGCTAGCAGAGCACCTTGATTTTTGCACAAAACGAGGAGCATAAAATTTTTGAATAGGGTATAAAAATAGCCTTAAAATGGCCTAAAAATATGGCACAGGTTTCAACTCAAAATTGTCTAGGTACTGTCTTCTTTGACATTATTTCAGCTTTTTTCCATGCCGTCGTATGTGTTTTAAATCCTGTATAGAGCCCTTGCTAGAAAGCATCTTTATCTTTAATTTTTAAATCTTAACCCAAGTTTACAAATTTCCTTTATATATTTTCCACGCCAAACAATGATTTCTTCTTTCTCAAATAGGTTGCTATTACCGTTTCTTTTACAATAACGGAACTTTTGCGCATCTACTGTATAATCTGGAAAATGTTTTTATATTCCTCTTTCGAAAAAAGATCCTGCTTCACAGAATAGTTTTGATACAGCTGGATATCGACGAGTGCCCGTGTACGTAATTTCCACCTGTATGTAATACGCTTCCAACTTGAGTTACGTACTATACTTTATATACGTCTATTTTATTGCAATAAACAAAATAAAAATGACAATTTATTTTTAAAATTAACAGGAATAAACAGATATTACAATCGAAAAACTTTTACCGTAAAAAAATGTGTTTTAAATTATTTCTCATACTATTTGGTATTGTTATAATAGTCCATTTAAAATAACGGTAAAAGGTTGAGAAACGCCGCACTTGACGATACCACTTGTCCCCTACGTATTTTGAAGCGCTGCTGGCAGCAATGGTTGGAACAACACCCCTAAAATTACAAAAACACCCCTAAATAGGGGTGTTTTTCGACTGTACTTGTTGTTTGCAAACTACTTCATCTCATATGTTTTTTTGTGGCGCTGATTACGAAAATCGGGGTTAAAACTTGCAGCAATGGTTGAACCACCCCTAAAATTGCAAAAAACACCCCTAAATAGGGTTTTTTTGGACTGTACTTGTTGTTTTTCAAACTAACTCATCTCATATGTTTTTTGGGTCGCTGATTTCGAAAATCGGGGTAACTAGACTGGAAAACTTGTGTGACACCCCTCACATGCCAGAAACGCCACTTCCAAGCGGTGAATTTTCGGAAAAAATTACCAGTCACGGTGTTTCGCGAACTAAGCCACCTTATATGTTTTTTGGGGCTTTTTTAGTTTGCAAAACAACAAGTACAGTCGAAAAACACTCCTATTTAGGGGCGTTTTTTGCAATTTTAGGGGTGTTCCAACCATTGGCCAGTTTTAACCCTCATTTTCGTAATCAGCGCCCCAAAATACATAGAGGACAAGTGGTCTCGTCAAGTGCGGCGTTTCTCGACCTTTTACCGTTATTTTAAATCGACTATAATGGGAAAAGCGAGGGGCAATTCAAATATAAAATATATTTAAAAAATCTAACTTTGATGTGTATCATTTTCTTGGAAATCCTTGTATAATTAAAATTACTTTTAAATTTTGCCTTTTCTGCTATACACCTCGCTGTGAAAACAGATTTAAAAAATCAAATAGTTTTGGCTTTACAGATCGAGGCGTTACCGGTGGCACATCCTGTATATAGCTTATATCTTTCGTGTAATATAGGTACTTGGTTGATTTTAATGGCGAACGATATCGTAATATATTAGCTATAATTTTTCTTATAGCATCGCTCGTAGTGAAAGCCCAGCTTTATTATTCAACGTTTCTCATAATTCTACATTTAGTCATAAACAATTTAAAACGATAATAATTTGGAAAATAATTGATTTAAAGCCTTACGATATAGAAGTAATTTTTAAATCGACATCGTTTAATAGGTAGATCAACGAAATTGACATCCTCTGTTTACTTCTATTTTCAGTTTTTTAGAGCTCAGGTGAAACAAATGCCGAAGAAATTAACTTATTTGTTAAGTGCTAAAGATTTCAGATTTTATTAGTTAAATAGAGGTCAAATTAAATAACAACAAAGCACACACATCCATAATCGAACTGACCAAATAAATTGGAAAATGTACTCTCACTCTTTCAGCGATAGTGTCAAACATCCTCTTGCAAGTTTCCATAACAGGTAATCCTCGTAGCAGTTAATATTAAGACCGATAAAAAATTTTATGACCGAAAGCTATCGAGCAGCATTCATCCATGATAACTCGATACGAGATGATATTAATTTTATTTATGGGCTTGGAAACGACGGGAGACGTAAATATTGGAAGTATTAATTTAATAATTTTGACACCCCAGATGAGTAAGCTTAGTATGGAATTATGTGAAGTATGAACGGCTCTGTGGGACATCGAGGGTCGCAGATAGTGTGTTTTGGTGTTTCATTAATTTATAGCCATAGCGTACATAATTTCATTCAATATAAATTCGGTTACTTTCGTAAATTCGGTACACGCTTAATAACACTAGTTTTTTATACCCTGAAAGAAATATGTTTACTACCTTGCTTAAACCTAAAAGTGTTAGCAGAAATATTATATCACGTCACAATTTCTTCCTGCAGTCAAATTTTTTTTTTTTCAATTACCCAGTTTATTGTTTATTCGTTCGCTTCAAACTACAATTAATAGATTATTAATCTAGTCAATGGCTTACATTAAACTAGAGAATTCAAGGTAGAGCATTGACATTTTTAAAAGTAAAACTATCCCATAAATTTTGGGTTTATATAGAGAGACTGGACAGAAAGGAAAAGACTCGAGTGAGAACTTAGGTCCAGACTCTCGCCTCTCGTTTTCGGGACGCTGTGTCCCGAAACAAAGTAATGTGTAAAGTTTTTGTGCACCGATTTGTGAACTATGCGTAAATATCTTTAACTTATTTTTATAGTGTTTCGTTTGAGATGATTAATTAAGTTACATACAGGGTCCGCCGGGAAGGTATACTCCTTTGTTTGTTTATAATTTTTGATAGCCTCACAAATGCGAGCCCTTGTGAGCACATTTTTCATTACCTTCTCACACATTTCCCGCGGTATTTAATTAATTTCATCACGAATATTTTGTTTGAGTTGCTCAAGCGTTTCTGGTTTGTTTGCATAAACCTTGCTTTTCAGATATCCCCACAAAAAGAAGTCCGGAGCAGTCAAATCAGGCGACCGTGGAGGCCAATCAACATCACCATTTCTTGAAATAACTTGTTGTGGAAAGAGGTCTCGCAGTAATTCCATTGTAATCCTGGCTGTATGCGATGTGGCACCGTCTTGTTGAGACCACATGTTAATCAACCTCAAAGCATGCAGTTGTGGCGTTAAAAAGTTTTCAATCATATCACGATATTGCTCCCCATTCACAGTTACCGTTACGCCGTTTTCATTTTCAAAGAAATAAGGTCCAATGATTCCTCCTGACCAAATTTCACATCAGACTGTCACTTTTAATGGATGCAAAGGTGACTGATGGATAATTTGAGGGTTTTCCATTGCCCAAAACCGACTATTTTGTTTATTTACATATCCATTTAAATGAAAATGTGCCTCGTCACTCATTATTATTTTTTTATGAAAATCGGGGTTGTCATGGGCGAGCTGTAACATCCTATTGGCATATGTACGGCGGCGTAAATGGTCTTGTGGAAGAAGCTCTTGTGTCAACTGAATCTTATATGAAAGCAAATGCAAATCCTTGTGCAAAATTGTGGCCAAAGTTGTTCTTTGAAGACCAAGCTCCTGAGCACGGCGTCGAATTGAGGTTGATGGATTGTTTTGAACACTTTCTTGAGCAGCAGTAATGTTTTCAGCCGATCTTGCAGTACGTATGCTTGGACCTATCATCTACAGACCCTCTTTCTTCGAAATCATTCACTACACGATAAATAGTGCGTTTTGTTGATAAAATGTTTTAACGATTAAAACACGTTGGTTTATCGAATATTTTTCCATAATAAATTTGCCACGTGTCTACTTCACGAGTGCCAAATATGAACTGTCAAGACTAATGTTTACCAAAATGGCGGCAAAACAAAGTAGTATACCTTCCCGGCGGAGACCCTGTATAAATGCCAATTTTACATGTTCGTCCCGAGTAATACATATTTTATATTATTATATTGTTAAAGTTTCCGGTACTATTTTTAATTGTTAATAAGTCCAAACTATATAATTCAATAGGAAGTTTATCTAGTTGTCATAAATCAGGTTCTTTTACTAAAAGTTTGGATATATTATTAAGTAGTGCTATATTCCCTAAATATAATTCTTTCTTAAGACTATTAGTAAAATTTTGTACTTATTGTAAATATACATTTGTTTATGTTTTAATATTTATTATTAATCTCTTCCTCCGTTCCAAACCAGTAAAATATTATGAGCATTTGAGAAGGCTCGGCGTTGCTATTCCCTTAGGACTAGAAGAATCTAAAACTAGTTGCCAAGAACCGCTCGACTATGCTATTAAGGAATAATTTTTGATTTTTTAATTCACGACTTAGAGGCGTTTCACTCTGTTGAAAGCATTTCTTCCTGGAGCATTTACTTAGAGGGGTTCCACTCTGTTGAAAGCATTTCTTCCTGGAGCATTTATGACAATGTAAATATCATCAAGTCATCATTTTTAAAATGTTATATAGCTGAAACTATAACTCGCTCGTGTCGCGGATTTTCCTGGAGACCACCATCGCAAGGAAAAATAAATAATGCCAAAGAAGGCAACAAAGCACCTCGGGAATTTTGAGTTGAAACATATGCCACATTTTTAGGCTATTTTAAGGCTATTTTTATACCCTATTCAAAAATTTTATGATCCTCGTTTTTTGCAAAAATCAAGGTGAACGAAGTCAGCAGAGCTCCTCAGTTTTTTAAAGCTTTTTTCCAAAACCAACGACACCATATTTTTAGGCTATTTTTAGGCTCTTAAAATATTATAAAACTTTCGAAAATTTTTGTTATTTATAAATAATACAGGGTGCTTTGTTAGCTTCGAACGAATCCAGCAGAGCACCTCGGTTTTTTTAAGCTATTTTCTAAAAACAACTACACCACATTTTTAGGCTATTCTTAGACTCTTGAAATATTATAAAACTTTACTAAAAAAATGCTATTTTTAAATAATACAGGGTGCTTTGTTGGAGCAAAGTCAGCAGAGCACCTCGGTTTATTATTTAGTTTTTACAAAACTAGTTATACTACATTGTTAATCTATTTTTAGACTCTTAAAACAATATATAACTTTTCAAAAAAAAATGTATTTTTTAAAAAATAAACAGGGTGCTTTGCTAGCTTCGAACGAATCCAGCAGACCACCTCGATTTTTAAAAGCTTTTTTCTAAAAATAACTACACCATAATTTATATTATTTCAAGAGTCTAAAAATATCCTAAAAATGTGGTGTAAAAACTTTATGAGAACTCGAGAAGGTTTTGTAAACCCCGTATTTATTTATGCCAAAGAAGGCAGCAAAGCACCTCGGGAATTTTGAGTTGAAACATATGCCACATTTTAAGGCTATTTTAAAGATATTTTTATAACCTATTCAAAAATTTTATGCTTCTCGTTTTTTGCAAAAATCAAGGTGCTCTGCTAGCTTCGAACGAAGTCAGCAGAGCACCTCGGTTTATTATTATTTTTTTCAGAAAACTAGTTATGCTACGTTTTTAAGCCATTTTTAGGCTCTTAAAACAATATATAACTTTTCAAAAAAAATGTATTTCTTAAAAAATACAGGGTGCTTTGCTACCTTCGAACTCTAGCAGAGCACCTTGGTTTTTTAAAGCTTTTTTCTAAAAACAACTACACCTCATTTTTACTTAATTGCCGCGTTTGAGAATCCACATCGGATGCATTGTTTACATCGTGAGCGTTTTTTTTTCCACATCGGACCCATCTGTTCCATTACATTTACGTATCAGTGTTGCCAGAATATATTTTTGTTATGTACTAGAATTGTCTAAAAAATGTACCAGATTGCATAAAAATGTACTAGATTCTGTAAAATGTACCAGATTTTCGAATTAATTGTGATGTGGTTTGGTTCATTAAGAAATAAAAAAGGATTTTTAGCGAACGAAAACAAAACAACGAGCAAGGTCCCAACAATATATTTTACAAGCGTCAAACGGTAACACGCTGAAAAATAAAAAGGTACTAGATTTTGCTTTGAGTGTACCAGAGTCTTAGAAAATGTACTAGATCTAGTACACTTGTACTAGACTGGCAACACTGTTACGTATACTGAATCACGTGATCAAAGATTTACTACATTTGCCGCGTTTGAGAATCCACATCGGATGCATCTGAGATGTTGTGAATTTTTTATCACGTGATAGAGAATTAGATCTGAATGTAGATGTAATAAACAAACGATCTAGATTTTATTGGTCACGTGATAAAATATCAATGACATGTTAGAAGTTTATAGTTTGAAGTTAATAGTTTTTAAATCTGATTTTTGAGACTACATAACACGCTGAAAAAGAAAAAGGTACTAGATTTTGCTTTGAGTGTACCAGAGTCTAAGAAAATGTACTAGATCTAGTACACTTGTACTAGACTGGCAACACTGTTACGTATACTGAATCACGTGATCAAAGATTTACTACATTTGCCGCGTTTGAGAATCCACATCGGATGCATCTGAGATGTTGTGAATTTTTTATCACGTGATAGAGAATTAGATCTGAATGTAGATGTAATAACAAACGATCTAGACTTTATTGGTCACGTGATAAAATGTCAATGACAAGTTAGAAGTTCATAGTTTGAAGTTTATAGTTTTTAAATTTGATTTTTGAGACTACAAATCAACCTAAATTTGAAATCTAAACAAAAATTAAACAAACTAATCACTTTTATATTCATGCTAGCACAATCAAAGGATAAATTGACAAAGTTGGCTTCACAGAACACTTACTTTCTGGCATGGAACGAACATCTCATTCACATCTCATTTGAAATCGAGATGTAAAAAATGTAATCTGAACAGGTACATCTGGGATAAACAAACGCAGATGTAGATGTAGTAGATGTGTCCGACGTGGATAAAAAACGCTCGAGATGTAAAAAGTGCATCCGATGTGGATTTTCAAACGCGGCAATCTCAGATGCATCCGATGTGGATTCTCAAACGCGGCATGTGATAGGCCGTAATTCCAAGGGCGTATGCTTGAAAAAAGTAGAAAAGTTAACGGTCGAAATTAACTTGATCTTATTGTTAATTTTAATAAAAGTGGTTTTTATTTTTTCCTTATAAACGAAGTAAGATAAAAAAAAGTTGTATATTTAGCTGCTTAATCGAAAAAGAAATATATAAAAGTTGAAAAGTCAGTGGCATACATTTTTTGGTAAATATTATTCATAAAATTGCTCCTCAATACGACGCCACTGAAACTCATAATTATCTTCTAGTCAGTGTAAACTTAGTGTCTTATCACAATGAAGAACACTGCCAAATTTCAACAAAATAGAAAAATGGATCTTTGAGATATTAATAAAAATCCTTTTCCTTTTAAACTTTGACACCTGTATCTTGAAAACCAGACTTTTAAGAAACATTTTTATATAAACGTTTATACTTGAAATTGGTTCAACAATGCGCTCTTGGAATCACAACCTATCTTAAGTAACACCCCGGAAAAGGCGGGAAAACCGAGACAATTTACGTGTAAAGCGGGACTTGAAATTATTAAAAAAAAGGCGGGACAGATTAGCAAAAATCGGGACTGTCTCTCCTATGGCGGGACGTCTGGCAACCCTGATTTACACACTCTCCTATACGACGGCACCAAGGTGCTGAAATTTGTTAGCCTTTGTGGCTACAATTACGCTACAAAAGCTCATTGATTTAGGCACCAATGCATGAGGCCTCTCTTATTGCTGGAATCAGTAAGCAAGCTCGAAGTTTTAGAGTTGATGCTAAGTCGGTATTATTATTACAAAGTTTTTACAAATGTGACGTCACGAAATGTAAGACCCCTCCCACTCCTTGACACACAATGTCGCACTTCGTCGATCCCCACCCCCTTCTTAACGTGTGACGTAATTTATGTCCATGACCGGGAGATATAAATCTCATTGGTCTTGTCCCTTCTTACTGGAAGGTTAAGTTGTTAAAAGCCTAATGTACACCACACATATAACTTTATAGCAACCGTGAATACTAGAATAGCTACTTTTAGCTGCTAAAGTTTCATTAAAATTCATCCAGTGAAAGATAAGTTCTGTAAATAATTGTAAATCTCTGTTTTACCCATGTAAAATACACTGAAATAGCGGCCATAAGCTGCCGAGACAAGTTAAATTTAAATTAAAAAAATTATCCAATGATTGTGCGTTTAGTACCACAAGAATAATTTATCCTGTAAAACATAAAATGGAATTTTAATTAATCCTGTTTTTAATAGAAATTATTATAGTCCCAGCTTTTTTAATAAACGACTACCATTACTTACTAGCATCGAAGTGTTAAGTTGAATTTTAATATTTTCCGCTTCGGTAAGCCTACCGTGCGTCTTTCAGACTGGTTGCTTTGGATAAATACTCTGCTCGTTCTCTCTATAGTAAAATTGTTTCGTATTTATTCACATAATTATTCAATTTTGCAGTAATACAGTTTTACCTTTATTAAATGTAGTATTCAATTGTGTTGAATGAATAATGACAAAGTAAACCGGGTTTCTTATTATTCTACTGACCGTTTTATTCGTTATTGTGCAAGGTTTTCATGAAATTATGCATAATAGTTTTGTTTATTACAATAATTTAATAATAACAATAAGTATGCAAAATTCGTGTAGGAGATTATATTTTCGAAATGGA